ACTACCCTGTGTTCAGTTTGGCAGGGGTTCACCAAACTTCAAGGAAGTTTGAATACCAAACCTGAACCCCTTTGAAATCAATGGTATTTCTGGACTAATATGCAAGCGGGTGTCAACAAATAGCCTGAGGTGTACTGTCCTAGGGAACATGTATCAATGCAGATCACTGCCAAGAGTAGTGATTATTTGTGATTTTTTTAGCACTGACATTTACATTGACATTATTTTTTTTTAATATAATTTACTTTTTATTAACTTTTAAAGAGCTTACAACAAACAGAGATGCATAGAAAAGAACAAAAACAAAGACATAGGCTCATCGATGAAAGGCATATAGGTACATACAATGTCAGTGCATAACAGTGAATCACCCATCATTTTCAGACAATTCAGTAGGCAAAACGGAAACGGAAAGATCCCACAGTTCCAAAACTGCTTCAAAGATGGGGACAGAGTTAGCATGCAAAGCAGTGAGGTACTTCATTCTTCTAATCTCTGCTATAACCTTCACCAGTTTCGATCGGGTAAGAGGCATAGTAGAAAGCCAATGCATGGGAATGGTTCTCCTGGCAGCTGTTAAAACATGGGCGGATAGTTTCCTGGCAAATTTGGAGAGGCCTGGAAAAGGTAGGCCCAGCAAAAAAGTGGATGGGCTCAAATGAAATAGGAACCTGTAAAATTAACTGCAAAAGGTTAAGGACCTCTCTCCAGAAGGGTGCAATGTGTTGGCAAGTTCAAAAAATTTGGAAGAGAGTGCCAGTTTCCTCGCCACATCGCCAGCAGACAGGATAAACACTCGGAGTGCAAGCATGGAGAACCTCAGGGGTCTTATACCAAAACATAAGTATTTTATAAGTGTTTTCTTAATATACTACACATATAAAAGACCTAGAGACAGCCTCCCAAATCCTATCCATTGATCCGAGTAGGCTTCTCAGGGTTAGAGATGGGGCTTTGGAGGCGAAAAAGTGACATATCTGTAGATAAACATAATACTGGTGAGGGTGACATATGAGTAGCTTTTTGAATCTCAGAAAAGGGTTTAAAGCTTACGAGTCACTGGGTGGACCATGTGTCGCAATTTAAATAGATTGGCCTTGGCCCAGGGACTCACGCGAGCCAAAGCCAAACTATCAGGGAGACTGGGATTAAGTATGACATTGGTCAGGGGGGAACACAAAGAAGACAGGTGAATCTAACCCTACACAGCCTCCATATAGATAACGTAAAATACATGGGCAGGAGATGTTTGTGAGAGGTGGTTTCAATGTTACATAGACCAGAGTAGAGAACAAGGGTGCGTTGGCCCTTCAAGCCTATTTATTAGGGGGCACTGGGAGCACCATGAGACAAGAGTACGAAGGTGAGTAGCCAAATCATGCAACACAATGTCTGGGGCCCCCAAACTTCCCCTAGATTGAGGAGAGAGAAGGACAGTATGGGCAATTCAGTGAGATTTATTATGCCAGATGAAGTGGAGGAAGGATTTCTGAAGGAAGAGCAACTTGGCCATGGGAATAGGAACAGGAAGCATCTCAAACAGATACAGAAGTTTGGGCAATATGATCATTTTTAACACATTAATCCTTCCAAGGAAGGAGATGGCAAGATTGTCCCAAGATTTTAAGGATTGAGAAATAGCATGAAACAGAGGTGAGAAATTAGCTTCATAAAGGGAGTAGTATGAGGAGGTAAGGTTGATACCTAATTATCTCAAGGCATATGGACACCATCGATATGGATAATTTGACTGAAGAGAAGATAAAATGGTAGGTGGTATGTGGAGTGGTAATGCTTCAGTTTTAGACGCATTAACCTTATAACCCGACAGGGCACCCAAAAGCTGTAGAGTACGATATAAGACCAGCAGAGTAATGTGGGGCTCCGTCAGTGTCATCAAGATATCATCAGCTAACAAAGACAGTTTAAAGTCACTATTGTGGGTGTGTATCCCATGGATATCTGGATTGGATCTCATAGCTATAGCCAGGGGTTCCAAACAGAGGATAAAAAAACAAGGGTGAAAGCAGGCATCCCTCACGTGTACCATTGGACAACAGAAAAGAAGGGGATAAGAACGACGCTAATTTGACCTGGTAAAAGGGAGTGGAGTAAAGGACTTTCAAAGCAGCTACAAATGGACCATTAAACCCAAATCTCTCCAGTACTAGAAACATGTATGGCCAACTTAATCCGTCAAACGTTTTTTGGGCATCCAACCTCAACAAGAGAGTAGAAGTTGGGGACTTATTGACAAGATCAATCAGGTCAATGGTCCTCCTGGTGTTATCTGCGGCGTGTCTAGCTGCGACAAAGCCCACCTGGTCTCTGTGTATAAGCTTGGAGATACATTTGGCCAGTCTGTTAGCTAGAATTTTTGTAAAAATCTTGTAGTCAGAATTTAATAAAGCTATAGGAAAGATAATTAAATGGAAGGGAATGGTCCTTATCCAACTTGGGGATCACAAAAATGTATGCATGAGTAAAATCATTGTGTGGGTGCGACCCCTTAAGGAGATCCCAAAACAAAGTTAGAAGATGGGTGGCTAAAATGCCTATAAAGGAATTGTAATATGAGTATGGAAGACTGTTCGGCCCCGGGGACTTGTGAGTAGGAAGATGTTTGACATCAGAAGGTGACAAAGATGGCAATTGTAAGGTCAAAAAAAGCATCAAAAGCAGCCATCTGAAGGGCAGGGTGTGTATCAGGGGCTAGGCAATTATAAAGTTTCTCATAGCATTCCCCAAATATTGTAGCCATACCGTGCGGGTCATATGTGGGTTTGCCTTCAGACTGGAGTAGGTGGCCCGGTAGTGAGGAAGATGTTTGAGATTTAAGTCTATTTACAATTACAGTTTGCTAACGATTGATAGACTGAAGTCACTGCATCTTTTAAGGTAAATACTGTAGAAAGTCAGAACTTTTTTTGATAGTTTTGGAGTGGGAAAGAACTAAAATACCTATGACATTATTTTTTTTGTTACTTGTGTTTCACAGGGGAAATTTCCATCACTTCCTGTCCTGGAGATTCAACAGGAAACAAGAATTTTTTCCACAGTGAACAGAACTCCCATCTAATAGAATCGTCACAGGAACAGGAGCCCTCATTGGAACCATTTCTTGCTGTAGTGACAGCCTAATTTTTTTGGATTTCCTCTCGCTTTCTCTGTCAGTCACAATATGTATCTTGACAAATACAGGGGTTAGTCACCCCAGCAGGAGCACAGCTAGCAATTTAAACTTGTCATAGGGTTTAATCCTTCCTTACTCTACCAAAAAAACTAAGCAAATGCACTTAATGATGTTATCTTTTATCCTTCCCCCCATTTAGTGTAACCCATATAGCAGAATATTTTCAGCCCCATTCTGAAGATCTTTGATATGTGGCCCTACCTTGCACTGCATAGCTTTTTCTTGAAATAGGTAACAGCTGGGCCTTGAACCTGCTTATCATATGTGCCATGGTTGTGGACAAACTAATGTTACTGCATTATTTATTTATTTATTAGTTGCTTCTACCTTAGATACCCTTGATTCAGAAATGTGCCTTAATCTGGTTTCACTAAGCATATCTATTTATGAACAGCAACTACTACATTTTCTAGTTTAAAAATCATTAACATTATCTAAAAAATAGCTATATATTATTTTAAGAAGATGGTGTTGACTATTTGCTCTTCATGAATGCAAGTTTTCCAGTCAGATGGTGCATAAAATGACATATACCTGCACATTGTTGGGTTACAATATTTGCCAGAGGCTTAGAAAGGTAGAAAGGTATCTGAGCTATATAAGGGGGGGGGGGAAGGAAGTCTACTAAAGGGAGAATGATCCCATGGTTCCCAAATAGATCGAAAATGACCTGAGTAATCCCCCATTAGAGCTGTGAAATATTCCATTTCTCTAATTTCAGAGATCACTCTTAAGAGATGATTTAGTGTGGGGGTATCCGACTGATTTCCAATTTTGTGGTATCACCTGTCTTGCAGCCGAATGTGTATTCCAACCTCTTAGACAGCTTAGAAATACCCCTAAAGGGCAGCCCCAAAAGGTAGTGTAATGGGTCTAGGGGAAGGGTAACATTGAGCACTTGCTCCAAGACCATCTTAACCAAATCCCAATAACCCGTAATCTGTGGACAAAACCAAAAGATGTGTGCCAAGGTGCCTACTCCTCCCATGAACCTCCAGCACCTATCAGACAGATTTGGGTTGATCGCATGAAGCACTACAGGGGTCTTGTACCAATGCATTAATATCTTATATAAATTTTCTTTGTACACAACACAACAAGAGGTCTTAGTAACAAAGTCCCAAATCATCTAACAACAGAGATTGGGCATTGAAGTTCATCTTCCCATCTCTTCATATAACGGTGAAGGTTATCAACAAGAGAACCTATATTGAGGAGTAGTTTATATAAAGAGGTAATAAGATGTTGTTGGGAAGGAGCTTTGGCAGCTATCCTCTCAAAATCTGTGGGGTGGTCTAGTGTTAGAGAAGAGCTCAAGGCATGGAAAAAGTGATGGAACTGTAAATAGGTACCATATTTTTCACTCCATAAGACGCACTTTTTTCCCCCAAAAAAAGGGGGGAAAATGTCAGTAAGTCTTATGGAGCGAATATAAAGTGGCTGGTCCGGTATTTCCGCCGCCCCCACCATGTCAGAATACTGGGCCGGCCGCTCAGCTCTTCTCTCCTGCAGGACCTTACCTGTTCCTCTGTCCAGCGCTGTAGACTTCCCGCGCCAGCTTCTGTGACAGCCGGGTGCCCACTGCGCATATGCGAGAAGTACTGCGCTTTGTGAATGGTCCAGCGACTTCTGGGACACATGACAGGTCCCAGAAGGCGCCGGGCCCTTCACAAAGTGCAGCGCTTCTCGCGCATGCGCAGTGGGCACCCGGCTGTCATAGAAGCCGGCACGGGAAGAAGCCAGCGTGCCGACACTAAAGGGACAACTTCAGGTACCCGCTCCCCCTCCCTCCCCAAAGGTCCGCAGTCTCTTGGTCATCCCCTGTACTGTCTGCAGTCTCTGGTCATCCCCTGTACTGTCTGCAGTCTCTGGTCATCTGTACTATGTCTGCAGTCCCTGGAATTTTCCCTGTACTATGTTCACAGTCTCTGTCATCTGTACTACGTCCGCAGACTCTGGTCATCTCCTGTACTGTGTCCGCAGACTCTGGTCATCTCCTGTATTGTGTCCGCAGTCTCTGGTCATCTCCTGTACTGTGTCCGCAGTCTCTGGTCATCTCCTGTACTGTGTCCGCTGTCTCTGGCCATCTCCTGTACTGTGTCCACAGTCTCTGGTCATCTCCTGTACTGTGCCAGCAGTCTCTGGTCATCTCCTGTACTGTGTCCGCAGTCTCTGGTCATCTCCTGTACTGTGTCCGCAGTCTCTGGTCATCTCCTGTACTGTGTCCGCAGTCTCTGGTCATCTCCAGTACTGTGTCCGCAGTCTCTGGTCATCTCCTGTACTGTGTCGGCAATTCATTGGTTCAGAATAATTTTTTTCTTGTTTTTCACCTCTAAAACCTAGGTGAGTCTTATGGTCAGGTGCGTCTTATGGCGCGAAATACGGTATATCTGGCTGATACAGGTATTGTGAGTTTCCATGCCCTAATCTCCTCAAATGACCGAATCCTACGCGAAACCGGATTGATCAGATGTCGGAGTTGAAATATCCCATTGGTTGCCCAAGAGCTCATCTGTGGGTGAGACAGACTATCTGGGAGCTCCGGATTATACAAAACATTCAACCATGGAGATCATACAGACATGAACTGCTGGGATTTCACACAGACCGACCAAATTTTGAGGGTAAATTTCATAGATTCAAACATAGGGGAGGTGGAGGGAGGTGTGATGCATAATGAAAAGGGAGTAACAATGAACATGTGTGGATCGGATAGATTTATCCTAATTCAATCTCTGCCCATCAATTCTGGGGTTTTTGGGTGAACCATGATAGCGTTTGTCTCAAATGAGTGGCTAGATAGTATTTGATAATATCTGGTATCCCAGGCCTTCGTTGTTTTTAGATGTCAGGAGAACTGTTCTCTCTATTAGAGGCATTCTGACATGCCAAATAAATCTAAGAAATGCTCGCTGTAGAGTGTGTAGTTGAGCTTGTGGTATTGCCAATGGGAAGGTCTCAAAAAGATAAAGTAACTTTGGTAAAATTGACATCTTTAACACATTCACCCTGCCCAGTAAAGATATCTGATAGACATCCCACTGATTTCTTGAAACAGTGGGGGATAGTTAGCCTCAAACAAATGAGCATAAGTTGCAGTTACACGAGTGCCAAGATATTTAATAGATGACATGCACCAGTGGTAAGAGTAATTTTGTTGGAGCAGTAAAAGGTATTGGGGTGGGATATTGAGGGGCAGAGCTTCCATTTTTGAAGTGTTTATTTTATAGCCAGACAAGTCACTAAAAGCTTGTAAAAGTGTATGCAAATCAGGAAAAAACAAGTGTGGTTTAGTAATAGTCAATAGAATGTCATCTGCTATGTCACTCCCGCTATGTCAGGGTGTGCTCTGTTTGCCACTGGCAATGATTAAAGGCACAACACAAATAGAAGCGGAGACAGAGCACACCCCTATCTAGTTCCATTGAGCATGGGAAAAGTGTCAGATGTGGCAAAGTGAAGCTTAACCTGTGCGGTAGGTCATGAATACAGTGCTGTAATTGCTTTAAAAAAAAGGCCCTTGTATTCCCACATAGTAGTAGTTCAAACATATAGGGCCATCCCAACCAGTCAAATGCCTTCTGAGCATCTAAACTCAACAACAGAGCCGGTGTTCGTGAGCCATATGTGTGAGTATATCAACCAAATTAATTGTATGCCTAGTGTTGTTTCCTGCCTGTCTTGTCAAGATAAATCCCACCTGATCATTGTGTATGATTTTGGGAAGCAAAGGAGCTAAACAATTAGCTAAAAGTTTTGTAAACATTTTTATTATCTGTGTTTAATAGTGCTATGGGCCTGTAGTTAGCTGGTGTCATTTGGTTTTTTGCCTGGTTTGGGAATGACTGTGATATGAAAATGTGGGAACTGCGAATGAGGTTCTGCTCCGCTCAGCAGGGAGGAGTAAAATTCCCATAAGGCAGGGCCTATATCTGCGATAAATTGCTTATAATATGTATAAGAAAGCTTGTGCGATGGGAGTGCCTTAACAACTGCACATAGCTCCTCCATAGTAATGGGTGCGTTCAAGATTAATCTATTTTCCCTTTTAAGTTTAGGAAGGTGAAGGGCTGAGAAAAAAGTGTCTAAAAGTGAAGGAATCTCTATGGAAAGTGGGGTGTACATCTAGTGATAGACAATTATAAAGATTATGATAGAAGTCTCCGAACACTTGGGCTATCAGTTGGGGGCAAAACGTGGGAATGCCATCCATTCGAAACAAAAACTCAGGAGCGGAAGTAGCCGAATGTGTTTTCAGTTTATTAACCAACATCCTATGAGGTTTATTAGTGTATTGATAAAACTTTTGTCTAATCCATAACAGTTTCTTCTCTATAGAACTGTCCTCAAGTGTCTTAAGTTGATCCTAAAGTTGTACCACTAAGCAAAGTTTAGGTAGAGAGGGAGATAAGTTTTTTTTCTGCTTGTGATAATTGGTTCATAAGGTCAGTTTTCTGATGGAGCTGGGACTTCTTAAGACGTGAGCTTTCTATTATAAAACAACCCCTAACAAATGATTTATGAGCTTCCCACAAAGTTGAGGATGCTGACACAGATCCATTATTGATTTTAAAAAAATTCACGCAATGCTTTCGAAATAGAAGTGTTAACACTTGATTGATGTAAGAGTGTGTCATTCAGGCACCAATGGCATGTGCGTGAATCTGATCGATCGACAAACAGATCTAAAGCCAAAAAAAAAAATGATCTGACCAGGAGCTGGGGACAATATCAAAGCCTACTGTCTGTTTTAGTAGGGGGGCTGAAAGCAAAAAGTAATCTAATCTGGTGTAGATGTGGTGCTCTGGGGAAAAGAACCAAAACTGCTTAGCATTCAGATGTTGTATTCTCCAAATATCAAACAGCTTTTGTCCTTTGATCCATTGACGGAAGGAGGTGGACTGTTTTAAAACATGTTTTGAGGGCAGTTGGCCTCGAAGGGATCTCCTATCTCTTGTCCTTGATATTGCTAAATTAAAGTCTCCACCAATAATCGTGAAGGGGCGTGAAGAAGCTAAAAGTAGGGATATAGAATCTCTAAAGAACACCAGTTAGTGTTTGGAGCATATACATTAATAATAGTAATATAGACAACACCATATTGACATTGCAGTAGTATAAATCTGCCCAGGGTGTCTAGTACAGAGGACAAAACCCGGATAGGGCAACCTTTCTTGATAAGAATAGCAACACCTGCTTTACCAGTGCCATCCATAGCGGAGTATGTTATAGGAAAATACTTAAAAGCAAAGTTAAATGAGCTTCCCTTTTTGGAGCGTGTTTCCTGGATAAGAATAATATCAGCTTTAGACTGACGGAATTCCCTAAGTGCTATCTACCTCTTCCTCATTGAATTTAATCCTTTAACATTACAAGAGTATAGTCGTAAATACATGTTGGTGTGTTTTGAACATGAAGCAATTGTATGCAGGGCGATATGACAAATAAACCATGCTGTTCTAACAAAGAATAACAGAAAAAACAATGACTTAGACGTATCCAGTGCATCGCAAAAAAACTAGCAGACACAGAATAAACAAATCCCAAAAAGATTTGCAAATTTAGTAGGATACCAAAGTATGGAGGAGGCCGGAGCAACCGAGGCCGTCCAGGCATCCACAGCAATAGCTGTAGATGTTTGGGGACAACATAGGGAGGATGAAAACCGGGCGGTAACTTCACTCCTCTCTTCCAAATTAAACAGCAAATAACAGAACATCTAAGAAGATCCCGACAGGGTATCGGATTTATCCTAAAAAGGATATAAAAAGTGACAGGCAAAACATGTCTATAGACATTGAGTCTTAAGTAGCAGCAGCTGCGGTTTGCATGACGTCATCAAGTATTAGAAGATAACCGGGAGGCAGGAGACTGTTGAGGAATTGGAAGGCGTGTCTTGTTTCTGGATCTTTCCGGGGTCCACATCTTGTTAGGGGTGTTGACCGCTCTTTGCTTGGGTAGGGGTAGTACTAAAGCTTCATCGGGGGGGAGAAGGCAGGCCCAAGTTATGCAGAAATGCCTCTCCTTCTTAAAGATCTCTGATTGTGTGATGAGGGCCATCTTTGATTACAGTTAACCTGAACGGGAAGCCCCATCTGTATATAATGTGATGTTTCTGAAGGTGGAGAGTAAGCAGACGAAGTGTACATCTCTTAGACGGTGTGATAGGGGACAAATCACTATGAATAAGACTTTTTTCCACTTTAAAGTCAACCGAGGCCGTGTTATGCATAGAATTCAGCAGAGATTCCTTACTATCATAGTAATGAAACCGGACAATGATGTCTCTTGGTCTCGCGCCCAATGGAGGTTTTGTGGCTAGAGAGCGGTGGGCCCTGTCCATTAGCCAATCAATGTCCAGAACCGCCGAGGCCAGTGCATCACCTATTGACTCAGGAACACCGCGTATATGGAGATTCTGTCTCTGCTCCCTATTCTCCAAATCTTCTTGTAGAGATTGCAACTGGGACATCTGTTGTTTTAAAGTATGATTATCTTCATCCAATACATGCACATACTGCACTAGATCATCAAACTTGGTTTCTAGGTGATATGTACATTCTTCCACCAATGCTATCTCCTCTCTGAGTTCCTGAGCTGTTTTCCTGACTGTCTTCAGCAATAGTATGGGACAAACTTTGCAGAAGACCATGCAACTTATCATCCAGAATGTCTGCTGTGAGATAGGGAACAGGAGAAGGGTGGATAGTGCTGTGTTACCTCTGCCTTGTGACCTCGGATCATCCGGTTCTGTCGCTGGGATGATATGATCACTCAAGGCCGGGGGATGCGGCTCGTAACACATATTTTTACATGTTTGTATGCCGCAAATGCCTGGCGGGTGATGGAGGGTATTTCTGATGCTTGATTTTGCCCATGGGGATCTGCAAAAGATACTGAGTCCGGTACTTGTGCTCCTCTGCTGTAGTTGGCTATCGTTAGCTAGAGAGGATCTATAAGAGAGAGCAGTGAAGCGGAGTGACGTCAATGTGCGACCGCCATCTTCACCTCCATGCATTCTTCCCTTGTCCATGATATTTTTTATTTTCACTAGCAATTAATGTTTCAGTTAAGATTTGCTTAAAAACAAATTAAGCTTGAAATCTGGGCTAGATCTGGGCACATGTTAAATGTGCTTCTTTTGTTTTTGAATGATGTTTTCTGTTATTGACATGTGGGTCCCCTAATACAGTAAGTGAATAATAATGTAATAATGTTGCCACTAATTATTGAACTGCATTAGGAAAACTACAAGACTGGAGGG